ACAGCAGCTTAGGAAAAAAAAAGGGAAGTCTTTATATCATCATCTTGAATAAACATTAAAAAACAGAACATTTCCAATATATATTAAAATACATTACTTTGAAAATAATGTTCATCTGTGTATCATCAAATACATAAATAAATAAATAAATAAAAAATAAAATCACTCCATGTTCCCCAGGAATTCAAGCACCACACTTTGGTTAACGCATTCCAGGCACACTAGGGCTTTGATGCGGGCTGGTGCTGGGATATTGGCAACCTGGGGAAGGGCTGGGGCCAAGTGGAGCGGGTGTAGCTAGGATTATGCCTTGTTACCAGCCTGGGCTGGGCTTGTGGAATGCCGAGGCTCTGCTTCAAGGTACAGGGCAGAAAACTGGAAGGGAGGGAGGGTAAATTGGGAGAGGGGGCAAAGAAAAAGGACCAAGGGCAGATTCCCTCATGCTCTGGCCCATAGCCCAAGTCCTAGACTCCTGACCTCACCAGAGACTCAATAGATGTAAAACAAGGCAGTTGGTTTCCAAGTGGGAAGAGTGCCAGCCATGATTTTTGCAGCCCAAGGAATGAAAAATCAATAATAATCATTTTTATGATTCATGTTAATCCTGTTTCATTCCAGAACACTTTACCGAAAGGCCCCTTGGCCCAGCCAAGAAGCTTAGGGCCAGGAGCCAGGACACCTGGATTCCAGATCTCTTATGTGGAAAACTTGGGCCTTTCTTGGGATCTAAGATTCTCAATTGTGGTAAGTGACATTGTGGAGAATTCTACAGTTTACGTATCTGTCCTCTCAGTTGACCCTCCAACCCTGGGAAGGAAAGCAGGATTGCTATTCTCTTTTTGTAGACAAGGAAACAGGATCAGATGAGGTTCAAAGACTTGATCAAACACACACTGTTTAAGGTGGGGAAGCTCAGGTGGGAGCTGTGACTTCCGACTCCAAACCCTTTCCTCTTTACCAGTCAAAACAAGAAAGGCAGTTCCTGCCTTCTCCAAGTACAGTCTGAGAAGGATTGAGCCTACACATAACGCCCTGGGCAGACCTGGATTTGTGGAGACTTAACTTGTACAGTGAACAGGGGTCTTTAACAAAAATCATACCAAAGGATGAAATAAAATTAAGGATGGGGTATTGCACAGGTCCCACAGATGAGGGGTCATTAGCTCCAGGTTCATTAGCAAAAAGGTAAATCGGCCTCTCCTACGCGCCCTGCCCACTCAAAAATCCGGTCACACCAGATCTTAACAGGGGTTTCCTCTCTGTTTGTAAAACGTGGCAGATGTGGACTGTGGAAGCCCTGGGAAAGGAATCTCATTTCTCCCAGGAGACAGGAGGAATTACAGCGGCAGGGAGGCCGCTGAGTGAGGATGGAAAAGGCTGCGTGCCAGGGGAGAGTCCAGAGGGGCTGGTGACCCAGCTGGCCGCGACGTGGGCAGTCAGCAGCGTCGGCGTGGGAGACTGGCCGCCGGGGAGCCCCCGGAGCCTGGAGCAGTGGGGCTACCTGAGGATCGACGGCCCAGACTGCGGGCGAGCCTGTGGGAAGCCGCCGCTCTTCAGTCGCCTGGCTCCCTGCGTTCCTGACAACCCTTCCCCCGAGGAGCGGAGGCAGAGGCGGACGACCACGGCCGACGGCAGTGGAACGGTGGATGGTGGTCCCCGCCCAGGCCTTTTCGATCCCCGGCCCGCAGGACGGTGGAGTGCCGGAGGCCTACGCGAAGTCTGCCCCGCGGCGGCTCGGGCGGCGAGACCGGGTGCCAGGCTCCCCTCTCGGCTCCCCGCCGCCGCAGGGGGGAGAAGCGGGGGGGAGCAGCGCCCGCGGCCTGCTTTCCCAGGGCTGGCCAAGCCTTTTTGACAAGCTGATTGCATGGCGGGGATTGGCTGGTCCGGGCGTGACGCCGGTAACAACAAAGGTGGAGTTGGAAGAAATTAGAGAAAAGGGGGGGGGGGGGAATTAAGGGGGGGGCTGGCGGGGGACAGGAGGCAGAGACCGAGGGGGAGATGCGCGAAGCGCGGTCTCCCGGCTCCCACTTCGCCCCAGAAGCCCCTTCGCGCAGACCCACCGGCATCAGGCTCTCCAACCCAGCCCCGGCCGAACTACCGAAACCAGGGTGGGGGTTGGGGGGGTGGGGATGGCTGCTGCTTCTTGAGAAATCCCCCTAATTCCCACCCTGACACCCCTTGCTGCGGCCCAGGGGGAGAACTTTTTGCTCGGACACCTCGGATCCTAAACCCGGCGGAGGTGAGGGGCTTTGAGAACGACGAGAGGTTCGCTCTAAAACCCGGAAGGCCCTCGCGGGGAGCCGAGATCCGGCGAGGCGGGGTGCTCCCCGGGTTTTTCAATGTGTTGCAAATCTAAGAGCTTCTTTCTTGCCTTTTTTTTTTTTTAACACCCCCCCCTTATCCCCCCACCCCCTCGCTTTGGCTTCAGGGTTGCAAAAGCAAAGAGCAATAAAAAAAAAAAAAAAAAAACCCGCGCACACACTCAGACACACACCAGTGGCGACAGGGGAGAGTTGGAAAGACGCAGGAGAGAAGCAGGAGGCAGCGGGGAGGGAGCAATGGGAGCGGGAAGCAGGCAGGTTCCCTCGCAAATCCCCCTCCGGCCCCACGTCGCTTCGCCGGCCCCGGCAGGGGAGCAAGGAGCCGGGCTAGCAGATGGAGGAGTGGAGCTCGCTCTAGGCAGCGGGCTTGGCCGGAGAATGGAGGAGCCGCCAAGCGACCGGCTGATTGGAAGAGAAACGCAGAGCGATGGAGGCGGGGGTAGGAGGACGATTTCTCTGCGGGGACTGGCGGCGGCGTATACGCCCGGGTCGGGCGCTGCAGAGCTTGGCTAGCTTTCAACCCGCGCTCGCCGGCTCCAGCCCCGCGCGCCCCCACCCCCAGCCCTCCCGGCGGCTCCGCAGGTGAGTGCGAGCTGGGGGCAAAAAACCCCAAAAGTCTCAACACGCCCGCCCTGCCCCCCAACACCAAAAAAAAAAAAAAAGAAAGAAAGAAAAGCATTTTTTTATTTTTCTTTTTTTATTTTCGTGCAGCCCCCATCGCTGGTGGGAGGGAAGGGGGTGAGGCTGAGTGGCCCGGAGGAGGCGGAGAGGCCAGGCGAGGCCGGGGTGGCCCGGGAGGCGGCGGCGCCGAGGCGGCTCTGACGGGCGAGCGCTCGGAGCGGCGCTGCGCTGCGCCGAGGCGGGCGGGCGGGCGGAGCGGGGCGGGCGGAGCGCGGCGCGTGGGGCTCGCCATTAGCCGTCGCTCCGCTTCGCCATCTCGGGCTTTGTCTGGCGACTCGCGGCCCCGGCGTCGGCTGCGGCGGAGCTGCGGCTCCGCTCTTCGGCCCGCCGCACCCCTAGGTGCTCCTGGCCTGCGCTCCCCTTCACACGCTCGGTAAGTGAGCCCGGGTTCCGCGGATTTCGGGGGAGAGGGGTTGTGCGAGTGGCGGCGCCGCCGATCTCCATGCGCCCGGGCAGGCCTGGGGAGCCATGCCGGGCTGGATTGAACCGGCTCCCAGCGCGGCCCCTCTGCCGAAGCCCATCGCCCCCTTGCTGTTTCCGGGGTGTAAGGAGCAAAGGGGATTGATTTTTTTTTTCTTTTTTCTTAAATTTGCAGGGAGGGCATTTTGTACGGGTAAAAAAAAAAAAAAAAAAAAAAAATTTTTTTTTTTTTTTTTGAGTTTCGTGTGTGTGCTGTTCGGCAGCAGGGGACCGCGAGGTAGGCGCCGAAGCTTGGCGCCGCGCTGGGCGTGCGTGCGCCCCAAGCCAGCGGCCACGCTCCGGGAAAGAGGGTGGGCGCGGAGCGCCCGCTCCAGGAGGCGGGAGAGGGGAACGAATGAGGACTGCAGTGGAAGCCCGAATCTGAGCTGGGAGGACTTGCGGGAGAGCTCCGAAGCAGGGCTGCTGGCACCCCTCAGCCTCCCCGGCCGCCGGGGGGCCTCCGGGCACCCTCTCTGCGGCCGCGTCTCGCGCCCTCCCTCCAAGCGCGGGCCGAGCTTGCTAGTTCCCCCGCGGGTCTGGCGAGGTCGCTCTCGGCGCCCGCCCGCCCGCCCGCCTGGGCTCCGAGCCCCGCCGCCATCCGGGCGGCTGCGTGTCTCCCTGCCCCGGCCCCCCCCCTTCCCCGGCGGCGACGGCAGCAGCAGCAGCAGCAGCAGCAGCAGCCGCCGCCGCCACCACCACCACCACTACCACCACCACCCCCCTCCCCTCCTTCCTTCCCTCCGCCTCGGCCGCCCGGGTCCCCCCAGCTCCCGCCCCTCCTCCCAGCTGCCCCCCGCGGAGCCCGCCCGGGCAGGCTGTGGGAGGGAGCGGAGCCGGCGAGGCGGGCGGGCTGGCGCTCGCTCCCCGGGGGTCGGTGTGCGCTCTACGGGGAAGGACGCGCTCGCTGCCCCGCTTCTCCCGCCCCCCCCCTCCCGCTCCTCCTCCTCCCTTCTCCCTCCTCCTCCCCGCTCCGGCGGCGGAGGCTGCGGCGGCGGCGGGGGGTGTGCGAGCTGAGGCCGGGGCCGGCGGGCGGGCGGCGGGCGGGCTGCCTGCAGGCGGAGGGCGCTGTGCTTTGTGCTTTTCGCCGCGAGGAGCAGCAGGCAGCAGCAGCCACAGCCGCCGCCGCCGCCGCCGCCACAGCAGCAGCCGCCGCCCCAGCGCCGCCGCCGCGCCCGGAGGAGGAGCCGCTGCCGCCGCGGGAGGGAGCTGCGGCTGTGCCCGGCCGAGCGGGGGAGGGCGCCGCCGCTCAGAGCCGGGGAGGGAGCCGCCGGAGCGGGAAGCCCGGAGGCCGCGCTGCGCCGGGTAACCGAGGTGGCTGAGGACGCGCGCCGGGGCCGGGGCCGGGGCCGGGCGGCGGGGAGCGAACCGCGGGTGCCGTAGACACCGGGGGGCACCCGGGGCGCCCTCCAGGCAGAGGGCTGGACGAAAGAGTATCAGGGCACTGGAGAGGACGCCGAGAACCGGGGGAGGGGAGGGCAGGAAGCGAGGCCCCAGCCGAGCCCTGGCCGCAGGCAGAGGAGCCCGCGCTTCTCCAAGCCGTCAGGCGCAGTTCTCGCCGGCCGCCGGAGGGGGCGGCGGGGCCGGTGAGCGCTGCGCCCCCGCCTCCCGGCCGCCGTCCTCCCGCCCTCTCCTTGGCTCGGCTCCCCGGAGGCCGGGGCGGGGGCGCCGGCGGGGCTGGGCCGCAAGCTCGGGGGAGGAGGCGGCGGTTCCCGCCGTGGTCGCGCCTCTGCGCCGGGCTCCTTCGTGCGCGTCGGGGTGGCTGGGCGGTGGCGGCGCCTCTGGCCGGGGTGGGTGGCTCGGGGGCGGGGGGCAGGCTGGGCCGCTTCTCTCCGGCTGCTCGCCTGCCTGGGCGGGCGGGGACGGCGTCGGGAGCCCGGGAAGGGGGGGCGACGGGAATCCGGATCTGGTCCCCGGGGGCGGTGCGGCCGCTGCGCTCCGGGCCCGGCGGCGGCGGCTGCGTTGCGTCCGGGTCCCCGCCGGGTTGCGGAGGCGGGGGGAACCGGCCGGGGGGAGGCGGGAGGAGGAGACTACGGCGCGTGCCCGCTTTCTCGGCCGCGCGCGCCCTTTACCCGCCCTTCCTCCTCCCCCGCCCTCCAGCCTGGGGCCTCCCCGGGGCGGGCGCATAGAGGAGGAGGAGATTTTTTTTTTTTTTTTTTTGGCCCGGGTGGGGGAAGGAGGGCGGAGGGCGGGCACTAGCTGCACGCGGGAGCTGGGAGCAGTCTCTCGCGTGGGCAGGGGAGGGCGCACGCGGTGGAGCCGGACTGCAGGGGCGCGCGGGGTGGGGGGTGCACTCCCACACCCACCGACCCATTAGGTCTGCTAGGGTCTTGGCAGGGTCTCCGCGAGAGAGTGTGGACTTGTGCCCCCCTCCCCTTTGGGGGAGGGAGGAATAGAAAGTCCCTCACCTCGCATCCCCGCCTGAGTGGGGACTGGTGTCTCTCCAAAGGGTGAGGTGGTTTTGACCGCGGGTTGCCCGGCCAGCACGACCCAACGAGGTGGCTGGAGGAGGTGGCTGGACGGCTAAAGAATGAACGGAGAAGCTGACTGCCCCACAGACCTGGAAATGGCCGCCCCCAAAGGCCAAGGTAGGAGCTCTTTAACTTAGGTCCTCTTCTCCCACATGGTTGTTTGCAGGGCCCACTCCCCTTGGAAAGGGGTTAGACAGTCTACATTCTCTGAATTGAGATGAGGGAGGTATATTCAGTTTCGGGAGTCAAGTTTGGCCAAACCCAAATTATTTGGCATCGAGGCTATAAACTGTATTTTTCACACTCCATTCTTCTGCTTAGAGAGGGAGAAGAAGGCCTGTGCAGGCTAGAGTGTGTCCTTTCCTCACCCTGTGTCCTGGAATGGGAGGAAGGATGAGGAATGTGGGGGAAGGGGGAGAAAGGCTTTCCAGGTGTTTCATTGTTATTCAGAGGACAAGGTTTTTGGTGAGGCAGGTGGAGGGAGAGGATATTTTGGTGGTCTGAGGCTCCCAGCCATAGGATGTCCATAACTAGACCTTAGCCCTCCGGTGGGGACTCCCTGTGCATGGGGGCAGGGGGTAGAACAAAGCAGAGCATCTGGCCCTGACTGTGGGACACTGAGAGGAGAGAGGATTATTGTCCCATGTGACCCACCCAGTGGAAACCCTGACCCAGGTTACCAGATGCGAATGCAAATGAAGAGCCCTTTTGACTCCTAGCCCTTGGCTATCTGTTCTCCCAGCTTACCTTCCAGAGAGGCCTACTAGAGGTGTGTTTTCAATGGCTGGAAATAGCTGGTTCAGAAGCAACCCCCCCCCCCCCCCCCCCCCCCTTTTCTTTTCTTTTCTTTTTTTTTCTTTTTTTTTTTTTTTTTTGCCTCCATGGTGAGTTGGACCCAGAAGACAACCCAGAATTCTGGGGGTTCTCTTCTCCCTGGAACCAGGGCCCTGAGAGCCTTGCCCACCTGCCAGCCCTGTATGGTTTTTCCATTTCCATTCCATTTTCCTTACTTGCCCCAAATTATTCATGTCTTTAATGTTAGCTTCCAGCTGTGTTGGAGAGAAATGTCTGCATGGGTTCTCTTCAGTGCCCACACTCCATCCTTAGTCCTTGCACATCTGTGGGATCCCCCTAGAACTTAAACTTGGCATCACATTTAGATGTGTTGTGCCTCCCTGCTTCTCTCCCCTCTCCCAGTAAGTTAGCTGTTTGCCCACCAATTCCCAAATCACTGTAACTTCATTCTTTTCTCTCCTCTACAATAAATAGTAGCTTGTGGCAACCTGGCGTGTGATCATAGTTTTGAAGGAAGCCAGATTTGACTTTAGGTCTGGCTTTCTAGGTATGATACTGTCTGGACTGGACTTCCTGTTTTAATCCACATGGTCACAGTTTTCCCTTATGAGTAGGTCATGTCTTGTCTTTGCCTTCAGATCAGAGGTAAACAGGGATTTGGGATGCTCTGGGAAAGAAGGGTTGAGCACTTAAGGACTGGGGAACAGATGAGGGGAAAGCATGAGCTGGGCGTGATTGCCTTTCTCACCCCTCCCCAGACCGCTGGTCTCAGGAAGACATGCTGACTTTGCTGGAATGCATGAAGAACAACCTTCCATCCAATGACAGCTCCAAGTTCAAAACCACCGAGTCACATATGGACTGGGAAAAAGTAGCCTTTAAAGACTTTTCTGGAGACATGTGCAAGCTCAAATGGGTGGAGATTTCTAATGAGGTAACTGACACCCCCCCACCACCGCTTTCCTGACACATCTGTGTGAACCCCTGCCTCAACCTTCCTGGTGGGGGAGAGGAAACAGAAGTCTATAAACAGGAAGGAAAGAGACCAGGCGAGGTGCTTATGTGGTCGCCCTTGCGCATTTGGGAGGTGGCACGGTTGACAGCACTGGCCTAGAGTTCTCAGTTCTGCCACTTTCTAGCTGTGTGGCCTTGAATACTTACCGTCTTGGAGCTTCTGTCGCCTGAGCTGTTCTGGGGAATGAATGAGGTGCTGGCATGGACAACACATCGAGGTCAGGTGGTCACCTTGTTGCTGTCCTTTGGTGTGTACGGACTGTCTGGTCCTCTGCCGGAGGCATGGACCAGCGTCTGGGTGTCAGGGGCTGAGCTGTGGCTTTTGCCCTCTGCCCCTCCCCCTTCGATAAATTCAGTCTAGTGGAAATTAGAGGAGACCCATTGACAAAGGGGGGGGTACGCTCTGGGGTGGTGTTTCCATTTCTGAACTTCCCCTTGCACTCACCGCCCTCCTTCCTCCAGGTGAGGAAGTTCCGAACGTTGACAGAATTGATCCTTGATGCTCAGGAACACGTTAAAAATCCTTACAAAGGCAAAAAACTCAAGGTAAGTTTCCAGGAGGCGGAGCGTGACCTGCAGGAGAGGAATGGGCCAGAGAAGGGATCCTGTCTGACCTTCACCGTGTCCTTGACCCTCCTTCCAGAAACACCCGGACTTCCCAAAGAAGCCCCTGACCCCTTATTTCCGCTTCTTCATGGAGAAGCGGGCCAAGTACGCGAAGCTGCACCCTGAGATGAGCAACCTGGACCTGACCAAGATTCTGTCCAAGAAATACAAGGAGCTGCCGGAGAAGAAGAAGGTGGGGGGAGGGGGGCGAGGCAGGGAGGAGGGAAGAGTCAGGGAGCAGCTGGTGCATGGCGGGTCAGCCATGACGGGGAGGCTTAAGACAGAGGGCCTCAACATTGCGTGGGGTGGGTCACAGAGCAGAGCGTAGGGCCTCGGGCAGCCACACTCGACCTCCTCCACACGGTCAGGCACAGGCACTGGCACTGTGGAAGGCGTAATAACCGGGACTGTAGCAAGCACTCAGACCACCCTTCCCCGCCCTAGACCGTCCACAGTGTTTGCTCATAGAGCACAGCTTCTGGGCTCACGTTCTCACGGTCGGGCTGGCCCAGCAGTTCACCCTCTGACGACCCCCCCCCACCCCAACCAACCTTGGTCTCATCTGATGCATGCAGTCAGTATCCCCATACGGGGAACCCCTGGAGAAGGGGTTATGCCAGTTGCGTGGGCACGGAGCTGAGGCACCGGAGGGACTCGTGTCCCCGGTCCCACAGCCAGTGACAGCAGAGCAGGGATCAGGCGCACTTCTCACTGCCCCATGCACACGTGAAGTGGGCTTCCTTCCTCTATGCGCGTGTTTGCCTAAGGATGCACTAGCATCCCTCGTGGCCTCCCACTGTCCCAGGCTGTCGGAGATCGTTGACCTTAAGCAGAGGTTGCCCTGGTTTCCCTGGCAGGATTGGACCCCGTCCCACACTTTGAAGTCAAGTGGACCTTCCCCACGGCTGGCAGCCAGGCCATGGAGGGGCCTGCTGCTGGGCCCTGAGCGAGATGGGGCTGGGGTGGGGTGGGGGGGATGAACAGCAAGGATGCTGGGCCACAAGGCGAGCCAGGGAGAGATGTCGGTGAGGGGCAAGGGGAGGGAGGCGGGCACATCTTCAGGAAGAAGAGACCAAGATACACACAGCCAGCATGTAGCCTCCCACCTTCCTTGTTTGTGCCCTGTGGCTGTACACTCACCTCCCCCCTTAATTCTGTACCCAAAAAGGAGCCAGCTTGGCGGGGTGCAACCAGCTGTCTGCCGCTGCTGCCTAGGCCCAGCGGGGATAGGAAGTGGCAGAGTTCTCCTCGGCCCCTGTGATGGGGAGGTCGTGGAGCAGACTGTGCACATGACACCCAGACACTCAGGGCGTGGGAGGCAGAGGCCCAGGGTCCCAGGACCGGGGAGGGCTAAGACACTATGTGGTAGAGCAGACAGGGTACTGGCATGGGGGACCCAAGGCTTGGGCCTGATGATCTGACTACCTCTAAGTTGTTCTGTGCGTGACCTGCGGTAAGTTCCTTTGTTTCTCTGGACCTGGTCTTTGTCTCAGGTGCAGAGGGTAAGCCCAGCCCTGTGCGTGAGTGACTTCTTGTTCCGAGAGCCACTGCTCTGTGTGAGGAGGGCTGAGACGGGCAGAGTGGGCTGGGCTCTGCTCCCTGTGTTCGGCAGGAGCCACAGAGGAAAGTGAGGCTGTCCATGTGCCTGGTGCCTCTTCTGGGAGAGGCGGGGGTTGGGGTTCAGTTGCTCTGAGCCCCTGGACTCTTCCAAGGCTGACTCTTGTGACTCAGGGAAAAAGGGAGAAAGGAGACCTGGACATTGAGGGGTAGCCAGGACAGGAGGTAGGTAAGGAAAGGAAAGAGGTGGGAAAGGAAAGAAGAGTGAGGAATGGAGAGGCAGGAACAAGACAGGGAGGTAGTCGCGTGATGGCGGGAAAGGAGGCCAGCCTTACAGAAAGCGGTGGAGGAGAAGGAAGAGAAGCCAAGGCAGAGGAGAGCCAAGGCAGAGGAGAGCCGGGGAGGGGTGGAGGAGTCTGCCAGCCAGGAGCCAGGGAGAAGGTGATGGGAGGGGGTTCAGAATGGGGAAGGCATGTGAAGGATAGTAGCCAGGGGACCTGAGGTACTACAAGGTACCACTCGGTGGATCTGGAAGGAAATCCAAATGCAGGGGACCGATCTGTTAGAATATCATTAATGTTGTAAGAGTTCGCTCTGGGTGCCTTCAACACCGTCTCCCCTCAGGCCTTGGAAGCAGGACTCGGCCTGCCCCCGGTGCCATGGGCCGCCTTGGAGGCAGCAGAC